TCCTGCCTCAGCATCCCGAGTGCTGGGAGTACAAGCATGTGCCACCACACCCGGCTATAATACATTTTAAAAATTGAAGCATTCTCCATGTATGTTGATCGTGCCCTGAACTCTTTTGATCCTATGCCTCACACCAAGGCTGCTCTGTGCAATTGGGAAAAGAATGTGCACAGTGTCACTTTCCAGAAGCTTCCATGAAGTGGTCTTGATTTCACCTCCTCTTCCTCTTGCAGCTCATACCACGGGTACAAAACCATGAAGGATTTTGTCAGGAGGAGGTGCTGGGCCAGGTGAGGTGGAGTCGCAGTATGCCAGGATCGGGTCCTGGCCCAACCTGGGCTACCAAAGGAGCCACCACCCCAGGGGAGGGACCGTGGCTCCTCTGGGCCGGGCCTGCCCACCTCTGACCTCCATCCTGAGGGAAGAAATGGAGAGGGCGAGAAAGCAGAATCAAAGTAAATGTCATCCCAGGAAATGCCTGCGGCTCCCGGCGCTCTGGTTTCTGAAGAGTTTGTTTTCAAGAGCAAATAAGACAAATGTCACTGGCAGGTTCTGCTTTCAGGCAGGAGGAAAGGCTGGCTGGGTTGGGGGAGGGCAGGGATCACTCCCGCTCACCAGGTGCTCTGGGGGGTCCTGCTGTCCTGCTCCAGTCTTGGCAGGGTCCTCCACCCCAGCACCTGTGCATTGGACCTTCTAGGTGTCTTTAGCAGGTGATGGGCCTTAAGTTTTGAGCTCACCCTGGGTCCCTGGGCTTGTACCACTTGTTCCCATGTAGAAAATGCAAGCTGGTGACAAATGGACCCTGGCTGGAGGTGGCCCCCATCGCCCTTGGGGACGTGTCCATCATCCCGGAGAGCCCAGAGGGCCCAGACAGTGATGACCGCGGTCACAACATCGCACTGTGGGCCGTGAGTGACAAAGGCGATGTACTCTGCCGTCTGGGTGTGTCTGAGCTGAACCCAGTGGTGAGTACCCTCCTCCCAGCCTCTGAGCCACCCTGTCCTCCCAGGTGCTCCCCAAAGTCAAGACTAGCTTTGCAGTCAGGCTGGGCTCAGGCCTGACCAGGCTAGGTCTCCGGGATGGGGGGATACCGGTACTGGGCAGGTCACTGGGGTCTCTGAGCAGTTGATGTTGAGGGTGAGCTTGGCATGAAGACCTGCTGTCTCTTGGGGTCTGGGCAGGGGTGGGGACAGAGGTAGGCCCTGCTGACACAGAGGCTCTTCAGCATATGTTATTCTGAAGCCCAGGGCTTCAGTGATGACCAAGGTCACGCCATGGTCAGGACTAGTCAGGCGGGCCGGGGTGCATGTAATACTAGGGTCACCCCAGGATGTCACATGCTTCCCAGAGTTGTCCCCCTCAGGCAAGTTTGGGTGCTAGACCCTGTACCAATCCTGGGCCAGGGGACCTGGTGACTCTGGGGGTCACCTGGGTACCCCTTTCCCGCTCGTAGGGCTCCTCCTGGCTGCACATCGGCACCGACCAGCCGTTTGCTTCAGTCTCCATCGGGGCCTGCTACCAGGTGTGGGCTGTGGCCAGGGACGGCTCCGCATTCTACCGGGGCTCTGTGTCCCCTTCCCAGCCAGCTGGTGAGTACCAAAGCTGTGCTAGGGGCACTGGAGCAAGGGTTCCCCATACTTAGCACCACCTCTGGAGCATGTGTAGGACCGAGCCTTGGTCACCACCCTTCGCAGCTGCCCACTGCCCAGGCCTCCCCGGCCCCACAGCGACCACTTGGGGAAGGCAGGTCACACTGGCCTGCTCTGTGCTGGGTATGCAGACAGCGTCTAGCTAGGGGAGGCTGGCAGGGGTGGACATGTGGGTGGCCAGTGGCTGGCACATAGAACTCCACAGCAGTGGGTTTGAAGGGTAGCCACTGAGGCCAATGCTTGACTCCATGCCAGGCTGGACACCTTTGTGTCCATGTTGCTGAGGTTGGCCCATTGGGCCCCATGTTTGGACTTGCCATGGCCCCTGGAGGGCCTTGGACCAGGCCAGGCCAGGCCAGGTTAGGTGGTCCTGGGTTGGTCTGGGTTGGCCTCCGCTAGCACCAGGCCCCAGCTGTGCATCTGTGGCCCCGGAAACTGAGACTAGGCACAAGAGCTCAGCCACTGTGAGCTTTGGAGGAGCCGACATCCCCAAAGGTCTGGGCTGGCAGGTTTGATTTCCCTTGTGGCCTCATGACTCAACTGTCCTGTCACAGGTGACTGCTGGTACCATATCCCGTCACCCCCCAAGCAGAGGCTGATGCAGGTGTCTGTGGGGCAGACGTCTGTGTACGCCCTGGATGAAAATGGCAAGTAGTTTTGGCTGCAGTGTGGTTAGGGGGGAGGCAAGGTTTCCTGGGCACCCCAAAGGGATGACAGGCAGGCCCCACAGAGCCACAGACTGGTGTGGGGAGGCTAGGCACGTCTGCCCTGTTGGCCTCTTCCCAAGGCACCCAGAAACGTTCTGGACTTTCTGTTCCACGGTTCCCCTAGGGACAGATGACAGCTAGGCAGTTGGCCCACATGTCAGTGTGACCCTCCCGGATCATGATGACCATGGAGCCAGGACCATGCAGCCTGGGCCTGGCCTTTGGGAACCTTCCAGGGCCTGGACCAGAACAGAATAGCACAGTCCATGTCTCATACCCACCATGACAGGTGTCCTGCCCAAGGTCAGTTTTGGTGCCAGTCTCTCCCCCAGTTACCCAGGCTGGTAGGTACTGGCCTGACAGCCTGGCCCTACTTGTGCAGAGAGCAGAGGGCTGGTCATTTCTGCCAGGGGAAGCCACTGCATGGCAGGACCTACACTGGGAGCATCTAGAAAGTTCCACTCAGGTCTGGGATACAGGACCCCACAGGAAGTACAGGGCGGGCTCTCAGCCATTCCAACCCCCATGTCTCCTTGAGCACGGCTCAGGCCAGCTCCTTTCAAGATTATGTCATTAAATAGCCGGGCGTGGTGGCGCATGCCTGTAATCCCAGCACTCAGCAGGCTGAGGCAGGATTGCCACGAGTTTGAGATCACCCGGACTACATAGTGAGTTTAGGATCATCCTGAACTACGTAGTCAAACCCTGTTTCAAAAAAGCCAAAAAAAAAGATTGTGCCACCACAGTCTATAATCCTAGCACTGTGGGAGGCTGAGGCAGGAGGATCGAAAGTTCAAGCCCAGCCTGGGCAACTTAGCAAAACCCTATCTAAAATAAATGAATAAATATAAAAATGAATAAATAAATATAAAAATGAATAAATAAATATAAAAATGAATAAATAAGTAGGGGCTGGGGATATAGCTCAGTGCACAGCCCCTGAGTTCAATGCCTACTACTGTAAAGGCTGCCCCCGCAAAAGATTTTGTCATTATGGAAGAGATGGCTGAGAAAAGACAAACATAAGACTTGAAGTCCAGTGTTTATTCCAGATCCAGCTCTTTTTTATTTGTTTAAAAACTTCTTTGTCCTCAGTTTTCTACCTCAGTAGAAAGAGGCTAATGTCGCCAGCCCTGCCCAGCACAATGGGACAATTATGAGGCTCAGGGAAGCCCAGGCGTAGAAAAGGCAAGGCTGGCTACGGCCCAGGCTCTTGGCTGCAGGTCGGCAGGAGCCCAAGAGTGTGGAGAAGTGGAGGGGCCACTGCCTTGACACGCAGCACCTCCAGCACCTCCAGCACCTCCATACCCTCACATGGCCAGTGGCAGGATTGCCACTGACTTTGGCCTCTTCTGCCCCCAGGGAACCTGTGGTACCGAGGGGGAGTCACGCCCAGCTACCCCCAGGGCTCCAGCTGGGAGCACGTGTCCAACAATGTGCGCAGAGTGTCCGTGGGGCCGCTGGACCAGGTGGGTAGATAGAGGGTGCCGGGTACCTGGGCGTCTTGGCCCCCTTGCTGGCCTACCCCTTCTGTCCCTGTGACCCACAGTGGCTGGGTGTGTGTTCCAGGTCTGGGTCATCGCCAACAAAGTCCAGGGGACCCATGGCCTGAGCCGGGGGACCGTGTGTCGTCGCACTGGTGTGCAGCCCCGAGAGCCCAAGGGGCAGGGGTGGGACTACGGCATCGGGGTGAGTGGCCCATACTGGGGACATTGCGCAGGTACCAGCCTGACGCAGTACTGGCTGGGACCTGGCGTTGGGGTTGGGGTTGGTGGAGTCCCCCAGGCACAGCCCCTCGGCGTGATGTGACTTTCTCCTTCTAGGGAGGCTGGGACCACATTTCTGTCCGAGCCAACGCCACCAGGGCCTCCCGGAGTATGTCCCAGGAGCAGAAGGCCCATGGCCCTGTCAGCTGCTGAGGCTGCCTGTCGCCCATGGGCGGGGGTGGCGCCAGGCTTGAAGGGTCCAGGCTGAGCATCTGTGCTGAAATGTACACCGTGGAGGGTGTCACAAAGGTCGACTCAGGGGAAGTCTGGTCTGGGTTGTGGCCAACTTCAGAAGCACTGGCTGAAATGCCCAGAAATGTGAAGCTCTGTGGACGCGGCCACCCACATCCCCAGTCTTCGAGAAGTGCCAGAGAGGGGTGGGGGACAAGGACCCTCAGCCACAGCCCATCCCGCCTCTCACTTCCCACTCTGCCTCCTTCCTCCCTGAGCTGGAACCTGGAACCCCAAGGCCTCTAGCCCAGCCCTCCAAATCACGTCTGGGCCCTGCCCCACCAGGGGAACTGCCATGATGCCCAAGTCACTTGTCACGTGCTGAGACCATTCCTCAGAGCGGGACTTGCGGTGGGGAAGGTTTTTCCACATTCAGCAGAGTGGGCGGATTAGAAATGGATGTACAAGTGGGTGGTTGTCTTCTTTCCGGGGCGGTTTGGGGCCCCCCAGAGTAGACTTGGAGGTGGAGATGGTGTCTGTGTGCAGAATTACCATTAGGAGTTCTTGGTCACCTCCTTCCCCTGATGCAGTGGGATGGAGGCCTTCTGGTTGATCCGATACTGTGGAAGGATGGCCGGGTGGAGGCTGGTGGCACCCTGGGCCCCGCAGGTGTTGGGTAGGGAGCAGGAATGTGCCTGGGAGGCAAGGTGTGGACGGAGCCCCAAGTGTTCTGTGCCTGGGGCAGAACAGAAGGCACCTTTGCCCCAGGTGGGCTCCCTGCCCGGCCAGGCAAGAAGGAAGTGCTTGGCCAGTGGCCCAGCTCCCTCAGGCAGCCTTGCAGCTGCCTGTACTAGGTGACATCTTCCTCTAGCCCAGCCCTCCATCTGACACTTGGGCCAGATGGCCAGAGCCAGGTCCTTCGTCTGCCAGGATGAGCCATTGGCCACTTGCTGACTTCCTAGGCTCCCTGGGACATAAAGGGCAGCTCTGCATTTGCCTCTGAGTCTGCACAGCTGTTAGAGTTTGTCGCCAGAAGCTGACTCTAAGCACTGTCCCCCTGGGTGCCCTCTTCCATGGGCGTTTGAGGGGCCTGGGGTCTGTTGGCAATGGGTGTAGAGTTGGGCTGGTCCCACCTGAGTGGAGCTGTCACACAGCCTCAAGGGTGGATCCCTGCCTGTTTACATGTCCCTGTCAGGTTCCGTATAGGCAGTGTGGTTTGTGCCCTCACACCTGTGACCTGTGCGCTCTGCCGTTGTCTCGCTGTCTGCAGGTAGCTTCCAGTGAACCACCTGGAGGGTGTCCCTCTGCCCTTTCTCGGAGGTGACCTCTCCTGACCGTTTACCTGCTCAGCATCACTGAGCTCTCTTGATTCCTCAGATGCTTTATTCAATAAAAACTTAAACCACAGTGTAAATGGCAGCATCGTTTTATTGATACACTTTGATTGAAATGTACAGTTCCCATGCATTTATGCATGTGGCCAGAGGAATTGCCCTCAAATCTTTTATTTTTGTTGTATGACAAGGCATCAATTTCATTCATACTTTGAAGGTACTGTTAGAAAAAAATGAAAGCAAATTTGGGTCAGTTAAGAGACATCTTCACCACAATGACAGCAGGGTACAGGTTGCTCAGTTCCAGTTTAATTTTCCTGGACAGAAAAGTCACAGTTCTGGCTTTTCCACTTGTAGAGAGGGTGGTGGGCCAATAGCTCAGGGGACCCCAGCACCAACTGCTTGCCCAGGGCTTTGAGAAAGTTTAACCCTGATGGCCCAACAGGACCTCCCACAGGATGAAAGCGTCCAGCCCGGGCTAGGGGCCGAGGGAGACCAAACCACAGGCCATGCTGACCGACCACCAATCTGCTCCTATCTTCCCTCCAACATTTGACACCCCGAAGAGGGACTGAGGCATTTGAGAATCCTTTGCAATGTGGCTGACCCCAGCAACCCCTGGCTGTGGCCAGTTCTCAGGAGGATGTTGAGGGCCACACCCCTGCAGCCTGTATGCTGGGCTCAGATCATAAGTGTGTCCATCAAGTCCAGGGGCAAGTTGAGCCTGGCTCTGGTCTTAGCTTCCAGTGGAGGCCTCTCTCCTCTCAGGGTACCTCTGGGCTACAGGTCCCTGTAGCAGGAGATGCCTGGGCTGGGGCTGTCTCAAGCTTGCAGTTGTGTCCAACCTCAGCTCACACTGGTGGATCCCCTGATGGGCTTTTCCCAGTGGCCATCCCCAAGGGACAGATGGGAAGGGCTACATCCCCACCTGACCCGTGACGGACAGTTGGAGCAGTGGGATCAGACCAGGCCCCCAGGCCTACAGGGAAGGCCACACGATCTGTTCCTTGAGACAGGGAGACCGGTGTACCCAGGGTGTCCTTTCAGAGCGCCTGGCTGGGAGTTAGGACCGAAGTGGAAATGCCTGTTCCTTCGGGTGCCACCTGCTAGCCTTCATGTGGCCACAGCTGACCCCAAGCCCACAGGTAGCGCTACACCGCCCAAGCCTGGGGAAGGCAAGGCCATGCATGGGAGGTAGGCCAGCAGAAGTCTCAGCCTTGGCTGTGGCAGCCAAGCTCCTGGTCCAACTAGGCCCCACTGCCCAGGTCCTCAGTGTCTCTAGGATAGCTCTTGCAGAGGTACAAAGGAGATGAGAGGCCAGCAGGGTTGACAGCAAAGTGGCCTAGTCCAGCAGAGCCAGTGGGGCAGGAACGCCCCAACAGAAGGAAGCTGGGCCCGAGGCAGCGGGGCTGCCAAGCCACCCAATCCCTGCCATCAGGAGCAGTGCCGGGTGGGGGAGGGAAGCTCCTGCCACCCCAGGCTTCGCGGTGCAGGAAGTCCCAAACCCTCCCCCTGCACAGAAGCTCAGGAGAGCTCCTACTCAGCACTGGGGGCCCACGGAGACCCCCACAGTCAAGCACAGCACAGGGTGCTACCCACTCTCCAGAAATCCCCCAGTAGGGTCTAGGGAGGAAGCCCTGCCCCAGGTCCCTTTAGAACGAATGTAGGGTCCTCTGATTAGCATCTCTGATTAGCATTCTGCTCAAAAAGCTGCCATTTTTGTTCTGCCATATTCCTAGAAGGGTCTTGTATTCTGCCCTGCTGGCCCCAGGCCTTATTTTACCCAAATCAGAGGGCTGAGCCCCAGACTCCACCTAGGCCTATGATGAAGCCTACAGATGGGTCCCTTCCCCTGCTTGGCCTCAGGGAAATCTGTAAGTAAACCATCTTCTGGAATCCTCCTTGCCCAGAGGGAAGTCACGCATGGGGAAGAGAATTTAGTGATGGAAAAGGCAAGAGGGCCTTTTCCACTCTTCATGAGGCCACCAGCTCAATGCAAAAAGAGCAAGCAGGGCCTGGAACCTTCCTGGGGCTTTGGGGCCTTATGATGCTCAGGGTCATGGCCCGGAAACAACCAGACAAGTTGCTTGTCCCCTGAGGGGCTGGGAAAAAAACTGCTCCAGGGAAGTGGCTGAGCTGAGTTTCACGGAAAACGAGCTGCGGGGGCCACAACCTCCTAGAGTTGACGTCATCACAGGTCTGGGGCTTGAGGCTCGGAGGGACGAGGGCTGGGAGGAGCAGGCCGGGCCACCACTGCCACCCCGCCTCAGTCTGGGTGCTAGCTGCCCTCTCGGAAGCTGTGGATCTGTGTGGAGTACCGCTGCAGGTGGCCCTGGGGCTGGACCTCTGTGGTCCCTAGTGGGACCCCGGCCACATGCTGCTGCTGCTGCTGCTGCTGCTGGTGGTAGTGCTGGTAAAGCTTGGGCCCCGGCGCAGGCTCTGGTCCCTCCAGGCCCGGGAGGCAGTTGCTGGACATGGTCAGGATGGTGGAGGTCAGCGACTTGATGTAGTTCTTGGCCAGCGTGAGCGTCTCGATCTTGGAGAGCTTCTTGTCAGCGCGCACGTGCGGGATGACCTCTCGAAGGGCCTGGAAGGCGTTGTTGAGCTTGTGCATCCGCTGCCGCTCCCGCTCGTTGCTCTCCAGCCGCCGCTGGATGCTGTTCTCTCGCCGGCTGCCCGGCCCCTGTCGCCGGCGCCCACCCTCGGCCCGTGTCCCTGCCGCCCTGGACGTCCTGCTCCGCAGACCCTTGGCCAGCTCTGACCCGCAGCCAGGCTGGGGCCTGTCGGGGGTCTGCTCTGCTGCAGTGGCCTCGGAGTCCTGCAGAGGGGCCCGGCGCCGGGGGGGCCGGGTTTTGGTCTTCATGGTCAGAACTGGTTGTCCCGGAAGGTGGCGGCTGGGAGCAGAGGTCGTCAGAACTGAAATCCAGAATGCAGGCCTCTGTGGTCACTCAGCACGGTCATGGGGCGCACAAGGCGGTGTCCTATCAACTTCCTCCCCAGTGCAACGGAGCAGTGGCCAGTGGTAACCGACCATTTGGTACAGGTGACCCCGGGGACCTCCCACGTACACCCTGAGCTGACTTTACATGCCCCCCACATTCCTGCTTGATCTCAGACCAGCCCCGAAACGCTCCCTGATCTCCTGTCCCCTCTCCTCCTCCAGTGGCTCACACTCAGTGACCTAGCCCTGGTCTCACGTTCCTCACTGCCCTGGGAGTGCCTCCTGAGTATAGGTGACTGTGACACTTTGCTCAGACCACCCAGAGATATGTCCCAATCCTGAGGTAGGACGGCCCCTCTGCCTTTGCCCCAGGGAGAGGCAGCCATTCCTCCTGCCCTGCTGGATGTGACAGGCTCTGGGACAATATTGGGACCAGAACCTCTGTGGACACGACGCAGCCATCACAGGTCAGAGGTGGACAGTTTCCAGGGTCCTTGCAGCGGCCCCGAGCCCCACCACGTGGATGGCACCATGGGAGGAGGGAGGACAACTCCCCCGTGCCGCCGCCTCGGTTTTCTCCACGCTGTCACCTGGTCCTGCCTCTGGGTCCCCTCCCAGGAGCCCCACCCGGGTCCTCCTGCCCCGTTACCTGGGGATCCGCGGCTGCACACGCAGAGGCTGCCCACGGGGGACAAGGACACGTCGCTTTAGCAGCCCCGGGCGGGGCTGAGGACGCATGTAAATGAGCCCGTGGGGCGGGGCTGTGTGGGCGGCCACGCCCTCGCTCTCCGGACCCGGGGTCCCCCAGACACCGCCAGAAGCGCTGCGCGCCGATTGTGAGGTGGGGGGCCCGTTCTGCGGCTGGGGACGCTAGGGCCTCTGCGGGCGAAGCCGTGGGGCTGCACCTGACCGCCGCACCTGGCCTCGCGCTAAGGCTGGAACCTGGCGCCCAAGTCTGAAGACGTGGTGGAGCTGCGCTTGTGTAATCAGAAACCATAAACAGGCAGCGGCCACATCCTCGGGTACAGCTATACAGGGCCGGACTCCGCCGCCCCCCAGCGCATCCGGATGTTGCTGGCGGACCCTGCAGCCCCAAAGGGTTTAGGCAGGCAGGTCCCTTTTCCCATCCCCCTAGACGCTAGGCGCTAGGCGGAGCTCCTGCGGGAAGTGTGTCCCCTGGTCAGCAGGAAAGGTTGGTTGTCCCTGTGGTTTGGTCTCTAGGGCCGGGAGGTTGACCACGCGGGCCAAAACCCACAACCCCCCGCCGCCCCCCAATTTCCCCAGAACGACAACCAATAAACAAAAACGTTCTGCTGCCTACCTGATCGCTCCCTGCCTGTTTCTACATCTTGTCTCAGTGGAATTTTTTGGTTGTTTTTGTGACAAGGTCTCTCCCTACATGGTTCAGACTGGCCTTGAACTCACTGTGTAGCTGAGAGCTATCTGAGGCTGGGCTAGGGAGGACCTCACAAATGACATGGTTGTGAATTCTTCACCGGGTGCAAAGGCTTTGGATTACAGATACACTTCTAGGCAGCATAAATGCTACGTAAAACTTGTTTTATTGCATATCCCTATAATCCCAGCACTCTGGGAGACGGAGGCAGGAGGATTGCAAGTTCAAGGCCAGTCTGGGAAATTTAGCAAGATCCTGTCTCAAAACAAAATTTTAAAAAGGCTGGGGAGGTAGCTCAGTAGTTCAACCCCAGTGCCCCCCACCTCAGCCTAAAAAAACCCGTTTTCCAGTGACGAAACCCTGAGTTCTCAGGACCCTGAGAGGTTTAGGGAGACCAACGCAGCGTGGGCAGTGCAGGGCAGGGCAACGCCACAACACCCCCCATCCCGGCATGGTGGAAAACACAGAATAGACACAGCAACCGTTTATAAATATATAACTATATTTATTTCGAATATTAAATAGTTTTTAAATTACAAGCAATTTATTGAATCACACTATGCATCAATATACAGTAAAAATCTTACAATTTAAAAATGTACACAATTTAAACTGAAGTTCATTAACTGTTATATTGCCGTGAACCTCTTTCTGCGGTGGTTAGTACAAGTTAGAAGGTGTGAGACTTGGTAGGTGTGATCACCGCCCAGGTCCTCGTCTGCAGACAGGAAGAAAACAGTGGGTACACGACACACCAGTCCCATCGTCAGGATGGGACTATCTCTCCGCAGACCTCTGTGACCTAACAGCCCCTATTCAAGCTTCTCAAGCTGACCGAACAGGTTATTGGTGGTGCAATACTGTCAACACATGTTTAAAAACTTACTTAAATATTAAAGAGAGTTTTACTTTTCAACAGCCAGGAATGAGGCCAAACCTTTACTACCTAGGAATATTGTTCTGAGATTTTTCTGAAGTCAGCGTGTACACACATTCTTATTTTAAGGCTACTTCTCCCAAGGCCAATGCTCTGAAGCCCAAAACCTCAAAGACATCATCTGAATTTTCAAGTGATGGAGGGAGGTGCTGGGGAGAGGAAAATGAGGAGCTGTCTCCCTTCCACCTGGTCCTGGGGACAGACATGTAATAGGTCATTAATTCTACAAATACCCTATAGGAAATATGAATCAAAGGAAAGGGTGTTTGAAAGGCCTTTTATGGAGGCAAAGACATACAAGGACTTTTCTTAGATAAAGCCATCTCTATAGAAACAGTAGGGCTTGAGCATCTAAAAATAGAATGGATGCTCTGCTGTCAAGTCAGCATAGTTAAGCTTGCTTCTTTCACCCTGCAGATGAACAGCTTCTGACCCGGATGTGGAGTCTCAGGAGGATCTGGGAGCACTCTCTCCACATTTTTCTGTCGTATGACAGGGTCGGTTAATAACACAAATCAGCATCTGGCTAGGAGGGAAATGGGTAGATTATTTGTATTGGAGGATTTAAAATACACACTCTGCCAACCACGTATTGGCAACCTCCCCACATCATCCAGAGAATTCCACTGATTTATTTCATTGCATAACTTATTAGAACAAGTATGTTTGAAAACCTACCACTGGTAACTGATTTATGTTTTAAAAAAAGCCTGAACCAAATGACAAAGCATGTGCCGACATTTCAAAAATGGGCTGAAGTTTTAACCTAGTTAAATTTCTTCGTATTGCTTGAGATTCCAAAAGAACACGATGACTCCCATGTTGATGAGAAAGTCTCCCCCTCTTCCATGCAACACCATAGTACAGTCCACCCCACCCCACCCCCCGGCTCAATGTACAAAATGCTTTTTTTGGCAATAAATTATGAGCGATATAAAAATTAAAAATGGGACATATGTTGTTAAAATCTCAGCGTAGTGAAAATGCACAGCCCTGAAACATCAATAAACTTATCCTGGGCTTACTGTATAAGAATGCCATACATTCTATGAATCTGCTAGATTCTAGTCGTTAAATCTGAATTCCTTGGACCTATCATTTAAATAATGTAATATAATTGCCTCTCACTTCTCTCTCAATCAACTAAGACTAGTAGGAAGAGGTAAAAATTTGGAAAACTCAGGAAGTCTCCATGGTAAGAAATTCAGAGTTAGGACAGTTTTGGCAACATCACCTTTGAAATGCCCTGTCTTTAATACAGGTGTTCCAAGAGCCAGTGCTCCCTGCAGGTCCCCAGCACTCGCTCTGCTCACACCAAGTGGGGGATAAGGACAACTCCATTCAGAATTTTCTCGCTTTGGAAAATTATTGCTTAGTATAAAAAAATTCATGGAGTGAATCAGAATTGATAAGAAAGGTCATAATCGACTATGTAAACTGTAGCCAACATCCACATTTGCAGTCTGCACTGGGACCCAAGCCCTGCGGCCGAGAGCGAGGGCCTGGGGTCATCGCAGCATACACTGGAGCGCGGGAAGCCGAGCAGCACCGGGAACCGCTGGGGTGAAGGGCTGGTGCAGGGAGGGGGCCCTGCCCAGACCCGGCAGGAACGGTGCTCTGCTCGGCACGGCACAGCGCTGCCCGCTGCACAGCCACGGGGGACCTCCTGCTGTCCGAGCAGGACCCCAGACCAGGACAGTGAGGTCAGCTTTGTGTGAGGGACACTGGTCTCGGACGAAGCTGCACTGGAGACGCTCAGTTCCTTTCAAAGCAAGAGGACTTGGTGCCTACAGCAGGAGGAAAGGGCCAGGCAGACGGGCCCTGGGGGCTGTGCAGAGCGTGAACCCACACAGGAGGACGCGCTGGCTGCTGGGGTTCTGCTGTGTCCTTGTCCCTTCCACACAGTTGTGTGTCCCGGGTCGCAGAGATGGGCCATTCCTGGCTGGACTCGGAGTGGCTCCAAGCTGAAAATCCAGCTTGGGAAATGTTTTCAGAGCTCGAATCCATACCACCTGCAGTGGACAAACCATCCTCAGTAGCCAGAGCCCCTCAGGGGAACACGCATGCCTCCAAGGTCCCCCCCTTGTCAAAGGAAGGACTCGGCAGGACCCCCACAGCCTGACCTGCCACACCACACTGTGGCCCTGCACTGCAACCCAGAGCTGTGTGGGGTGGACCTGTCAGTCTTTACCAAAGGCTAAAACACCAGGGGCGGTGGGGGGAGAATCTCCCAGGGAAGCTGCAAGACCCTTTGGCAGCTCAGAGAAGCTGCCTTTGCCACAGGGAAAGCGCCTTCTAGGGAAGAGACAAAACATGTTTGATTCAATCCTTGTAAGTAACAGAGCAGTATTTTTGGACTCATCAAAAATATTTCCTATAAGAACATAAAACACTAACATTCAGAATCAGTATCAGGTATGAAAGAGTACCATATATACAGCTCCAATAATTCTGAAGACAGCATATCACTCAAAATACTTAAGCTTTACAAGTACCATGCAGGGCAAACAAACTATCAAACAGGAAAAAAAAAAAATCAAACTAGTGGATAGCACCAGCTTGACCTGCTGTATTTTCCTTGAATAATTTACGATTCTGTACAATATTGGTGACTCTTAGAACACTTATCCACAGTGCAATTACAGAGAGCAATTAGTGATTTCTTTTACAACAATAAATATGGCTCACTCGTGACCATTCCCCTGGCGCATCCCCCGCGGCACCCATGTGCAGACCCGGAGGCACGGGCGTGGACGGGAAGGATGCAGCACAGAAAACACACACACCCTGGCACGCGCAGTTCCCCCACGCGGATGCAGAATGATCAACGTGTGAGCCCTTCAAGTGTGTGAGGACCTCGGGCGTGCGGCTGTGGTGAGCGGGTGGGGCAGCCGCCGAGCTCGGCCTCCACAGTCCTCCAGTCTCATGTCAGCCGAAGTCGCTGCTCTGGCCTGGAGACTGTGTTCGAGGCCACTTAATCCTTTTCTCCATCTTCACTGCTGCCTGTTTAGGAGAGAGGAGGCAATGCAACAAGTAGGTTTCACAAATGATCGCCCTGGATAATGCATCTAGAGAGCATCTGACCAGCGTGGCAGGAAAAGGTTCTGCAGCTTGCGTCCGGCTGCTTCCCACCTGCCCGAGGTGCCCCGTCCTTCTTTAAAGTGGTGCCTACCGACTGTGCACCCAGCTGCTTGGCTCCCATGGTGGCTCTGTGCCCACGCTCAGGGCAAGGAAGGAAAGCGCCCTGGCAGTCTGCCTACCTGCCCGCACGCACACACACCCCACCCCCGCCTGCCCGCCGGGTCCTCGGGTGCAGGCATTATCTCCTCGGCACTAGTGAAGCCGTGCAAACACAAATAAAAGCTCTTTATGGTTCACATTTATTATTTGATCTGTAAACTTCAAATAAAAAAACGCACCTATTTATTAACATTTATCTTTCCATCTAGGTATGGGGAAAATGACCCATATGCTCAGATCCTGCCACTTCAAATGTGCCTGCCTGTGCATTCCCACCTGGCCCTCTGGTATCTCACGGAGACCAGAACTTGATGGCAAAACCAACATTCCCAGGGGAAAAGCCAGAGTGCACCCAGGCTCAAGTCCAAAGCTCAGCCAAGGGTTCAGAGGAGCCCACACCTGCTGAAGGGCTGCAGCTCCGAAAAGAAGTGGCGACTGTGGAGCAGGGCATCAGCCAGAGGAAAATTAAAGGTAGGGAGGGAGCTGGGGAACTGCTGGTGCCCCAGATCCAGGGCACTCGGGCCCAGCAGGGGAGCAGGACTACGCTTCCAAGTGTTCCTAAAAGTGGGGGGTGTGGCTCTAGTCCATCATAGAGATTCAGGATTGTAGGAGTTTTAGTGAAACAAATTTATTCATTCACTCACTCACTGCCCTAGGGATCGAACCCGGGGCCTTCACACTGAGCTGCATCCCTGGTCATGTACGCTATGCTATGCTATGTGCTACTGCTATTTGCCACAGCACACAGGCAGGGTCTTGCTTTTGCTAAGTTACCAAACTGCCTAGGCTGAGCTCAAACTTGCAATTCTCCTGCCTCGGCCTCCCAGGGTACTGGGATTCCAGACGTGTATCACCACACCTGGCTATAAAAACAAACTTATAATCTATTCAGCAAATACCCAGAAACGTCAGATTACCAGGTCTTCACATCCACGGGGGTGGGGGAGTGGACACCACCAAGCCAAACCGGACCCCTCAGACCACCTGCCGTGCCCGCCCATGCAGGGCGCGTCTCACCTCCTTGCTCAATGTCCGAGTCAGTGAGGTGCGTGAGAGAGAAGCTGGCGATGTTGGCAGGAGAGATGGAGAACCTGGAGCAGGGTGACACGTGTGGCCAGCTCTGCTCTGCGCTCCGGGCTGGTGGTGGTGGGGAAAAGTACTTGGACGGCTGAAGGGAAGGCTTGGAACCCAGAAGGTTGCTTGTCGTCTTCGACATGAAAGGATCTGGGGAGAAGTCATCATCCCACTCAAAGCCGCCACCTGGAAAAAAATCCTCCTGTTATCACTGTGCAGTGACGGGCAGAGGAGCCCGAAAGCGCAGGTGTGCCGAGCACATGAGCCAGCACCAGCCCCGCCACCAGATGGCCAGCTGCGCCCCACGTGTTGGGAGGAGGTTATTCAAAGCAATAAGCCATGTGCTCTTGCCCAAGTGTTTACCCAGTGCTCTGTTTTCTGGATGTGTGTAAGCTAGTCAATGCAGTGAAATACCTTCTTCATCTGTGGAGCTCTCAGAGTTTATGCATCTGCTCAGGTATGGTGAGCCTGCGGTGGGTGCCGGGTTGCTGGGCCCGGGGTGGTGTGCTTCTCCTCCACAGTGCCCCAGCTCTTTGGTCGGGGTCTCCTGAAAAGCCAAGCAGAATGCCTGTCAGCCCGTGCCTGGGAGCCGCCCACTGTGCCACGACCCTGCTCGCAGGTGCCTTGCGGTTTAAAGCGAGGGAGGTTTCATCCCTGGTAGGGAGGGACTAATGGGTGGCCTGCCTCTCCCTCTGAACGTGGCCCAAAAGGTGGGCAGGACAGCGAAGCAGCTGATGGGGACAAATCCAAGTTCAAAGTGTCACCAAACCAGCAGTTCATTGGCCAGTTACCCTCTGATGTCCTCGAGCTGGATTCAACTCAGCCTGAAAGCCAGAGGGGGTCCTGGTGTGGACAGAGCTGCACAGGCCTTTGGTTCTGGTTCCAGGACAGACAAGGAATTCTAGGTTTTCTTCCTCTACCTCTTCCTGTTCTGCCACCACCAGGCCTATATAACCCGGCGGCGGTAACAGCAGCCTGTGACTCTGAGGGGGCTGGCGCCTCCTCTACACTGGCACATGGTGATCCGGAAGGGGACTGCTGCTGGTTTCTGCTCTGTCCTCTCCTGCTGATCCTAGACAGGGCACTGTCAGACCCCAGCCTGGGGAGGTTTCCAGAGCTACAAAATCCAGGGCCATCGCAGAGAGTAGAGCTCAGAAAAGTGACTCTACAGAGCGGCTGAGAGGCTTCTAGGCCTACCTGAGCAGACCCCAAACAACACACAAAGCTTTGAGAGCTGAACCGGGCTTGGGGGCTGACACAGCACACTGCATTCTGGTCTGGCCTCAGGTGGTATCCACTACAGCAGCGACTTCAAAAGGGGAACAAGCACTGAAACCATAACCCACAGGGGCTGAGGGCCTGAACCCAGCTGGGTTCAAGACAAAAATATCAACATTTGCCACAGAAATTAATAAGACAATAATCACATGACTTTATGTTACACAAAATCTCAAATCACCCAAAGAACCAGGCAAAACCCAATTCACAGGGGCAACGGCAATCAACACATGTCAGTGTCAAGAGGGTATAGCTGCTGGAATTACCTGAAAAAGACATGAGAAATCGCCGAGGCTAGGGGTGTAACTCAGGGGCGGAGTGCTTGCCCCACAGGTGTGATAGCTACCCTATATTCAACCCCCAGCACCAAAAAATATCAAAGTAAAACATCAACAACCCCCTAAACCAAAACATGCACACATTCTCTCTCTTTCTCTCTCTCTCTCACCAAAGCAAACCAAACAAGAACCAACTCCTGCAAGTAAAGGCAAGCACACCTGAACAGAAATATAGAAAGTCTCAGAAAAAGGACAGATGAGCCAGATGATACAGAGTTCGCAAACAAAGTGTTCGTGAATGGTGGTACTCACCTGTAATTCCAGCTACTTGGGAGGCTGAGGCAAGAGTATCACAAGTTCCAGGCTAGCCTGGGCAACTTAGCAAGACCATGTCTCAAAATAAGATTTTTTTTTAAAAAGCTGGGGATGTGGCTTAGTGGTAGAGCACTTGCCTAGCATGAACAAAGCCTTGGGTTCTAGCTCTAGTGTGTGTGTGTCGGGGTGGGGGCACAGAAAAGAAATAAAGATGACTTAATTCAGCCAACAGCAAGAAAAACGATATAAAGAACAGAACCTTGGAATCGCTAGGAAGACATTAAGTAGACAAAAAAAAAAAAAAAAAAAAAAA